GCGTGGACATTCTGAAAAAGGAACTCGAGGTCATGAACAAGGACATCAAAATCGCCACTGCCAAAGCCGAAAAGGTGAGAACGATGCTTTTTATTTAAAGAACAAGTTGATCTAGACAGTTTGTCAAACCGCGCCCGCACCAGCTACTTGCTCCTGCGGGCAATAGAGACGGACAAAACTGCATTCAGTCTCTCTCGTATACCTCCCGCGCTGTGAGTCATTTTCGCTGGCCCAAGAAGGGAAAGGGTCTTGGCGGGGCACCGCGCAACCAAGGCCGAGGGAGATTCTCTTGCTCTTCGGGAGGCAGATTCCCGTGTCGTAGGGACGGAGGGTTCTGGTAAGCAGTCCCAGTCAGTCGAGATTCGGAAGAGACTCGGGATTGAAATTGCTTAGGAGCGTAGACCTAATTCATCGATTTAAATTAAACACAAGAGCTGCTCTCTAGCGCAATAATCAAATGTTTCCGTATACATTTATGATATTAATGTATTGCACTTCGTCGGCACACAAGACAAGTAACATATAAAATAAAAAAGGCTGAGATGAATCACAGCAACAACTGTAATAAAGTCGATTGTTTTTATCATCAGTGTTTTGGGCTCGGGTGTTTACGTGTTAGATGTTTTGTTTGCAAATGAAATTCTCTCGCAATTAAAATTTTAGAAAAGTTAACTTCTCAGGTTGAGAGACCGGAATACGGATGATATCTACGTGAGGATATCTACGTGCTAACCACACGTAGCCCCTTAACCCATGGCCGCAAAGTAGGGACATCGCTGGTAGGCAGGAGCCCGCCCATGGGCTGTCGCGTTAAGTGCACACACTACATACAACTGTCAACAGACTTCTCCAAAAGTCTGTCTTGGACCAAATATCCAGTAATGTACCGGTACTCCAGAGAAATTTGTACAATTCTCACTTTTAAATTTGGTGTTAATTGCTGTGGACCGAAAATTCGTGTAAGTTACTCGCGACCTTTTCTTCCCTGATCTGAACAAAGCACTCGACAAAGAACATGCATCAGAAATACCTAAAGGTAATTTTATTATACACAAATGCAAACTATATATTTAATGGACTCAAAATGCAGTATACGAGGCATTTCAATTTTATTGTTCATAGTTTTACAACGCAAACTAGTAAGTTACAATAATACGTTTACATAATTTGAAAATGATTCACAATGTAGAGAGTAATTGCAATCTATTAGTTTCTTATTTCAATACATAAAATGTAAGAATAATGTTAGTAAACCAAGTACTTCTGAAATATTTTGTACGCAATGAAGTTCCTGAGGAAACTCGCACTGATTATTAATACATATCAGCAATAATATTTCCATCCGTGCTTTGAAGTAAAACGTTGGATGATTTTGGTCGAAAAATCACCTCAGTGATCACTATATTTTCTTAGAGTTATTTTTTTTCTCGACATGTTCCTTTTGTGACATCCAGGCGATGAACATTTTTAAAACTTGTCGCGATCTTGCATCGAGCTGAGCTTTCTTGTATTCTTCTAGTGTTCATTCCAGAGTAATCCATTATGTCATTAGAACGATGGTAGTAATCATGGTAAGGCGGAACTACCATGAACAGCGGGGATCGTAACACCTTCCGATAGTTTTTGGTAAATGGTATATATATATATATATATATATATATATATATATATGAAGGAACCGTCCAGTAGTTTATAACGTATCTATGGAATCGCCCCTTCCATTAAGTGCTGCAGGTGACGACAATTCTCATGGTAAGCTGTGAATAAGCTAAAACTTGCCTACAGAGCAGCACTGTGTGCATAGTGAATTCATAGCGTGCTCTCGCAACAGGTAAATATATCTGGCTGAGACGTGTCCTCTTAAGTTGTTAAATGATACAAAATATATTTTTCAAACTGAAAATTTGAAGTAAAACATAAACAGTGTGTTAAGGCTGATTAGAAAATGATTTTTCTTTAAAACGAGTACAAAGCATCGTCAGAAAACAAAAAGGAGTTGGGTATCTGGCAAACAGCGTGTTGGTAAGTTACGTTTTGCATTGCAGACACTTGAGGACTGTATAATAAGTGAACGGTGTGCGGGCAGGTGCTGGCGGTGGTGACGGAGTCGGCCAAGGCGGCCGAGAAGGTGAAGGCGGAGGTGCAGGTGGTGAAAGACCGCGCCCAGACGCTCGTGGACTCCATCGCCGAGGACAAGAAGGTGGCCGACGTGAAGCTGGAGGCGGCGCTGCCGGCCCTGCAGGCGGCCGAGGCGGCGCTCAACACCATCAAGCCGGCCGACATCGCCACGGTGCGAAAGCTGGGCAAGCCGCCGTACCTCATCACCGTCATCATGGACGCCGTGTGCGTGCTCTTCCAGCGCAAGCTGGCGCCCGTCGAGATGGACACAGAGAAGAACTTCTTGATGCCCAGCTGGGCCGAGTCTCTAAAGGTCAGTGGCCCCTGACGCCAGGGAGGGAGAGTTACGCTAATGTCAAAGCCATTCGGTTTTGCCCACTGGACGGAAACTTTAAGCCGAGAAACTTTCATAAACAATAAACCCTATGCTTTGAACACTAATAAATTACTGGTTGTATTTGTATGCATGTCTTCAGGGTGTCCCTTAATATCTGCACACTGAGAGTACCATTGTGTGAGTACTATTGAAGGCCGAGAAGCATGGTGACACACCCAATATTACACATTCGACAAGCTGGTTTCCGAGTAATACAAAATTATCAATTGCAGGTGTCAAGATATACCGCACGAACTCGAGTATGGTTAGCAAGGAAACAATATTTTCTCATAAGTACGATGTCTTCCATTTGAGAACAAGGCAAGCAAGGCTTTTTATGACTATTACTGTGCCGCGGAACGGCGGCCCTGAATGGGTGATAAGCCCACAGTGGAAGGCATCGAGAAGAAAGTTCGAAGGCCGAGATAGAACACAACTCCGTGTATACCACCATCAAGTTTATTGTTATAGCAAAGACAATGTTTAAAGAACATGAGCAAAATTTCCCCGCTATTATGGCAACATAAGGCACGCGTTTGTTGCCATGCCCCAAAGTTTTGGCAGCTACAACGACCAAAGACGCCTCGACGAGGTGTTTCCCTTAGCACACAGTCGTGCATCGAGGCCCCGCAACACCTTGCACGTCGGATACCGGCGAGTGGGTTATCGCGCCGCCTACATACACACAGCAACGGCGGCATTGCCACGACATTCCCAAGGTCCAGGGAATATATATATATATATATATATATACTCGTCTGAGGTAAATGTCTCCATTTCCACCACTTCATACGGCTGCTCCTTTGACATGGCTACCAGCGCAACACTGACACCGTCAAAGTGCGTTTTAAAAGGTTGCGTTTCGGAATGGCGGCGACATCAGTAACCCGACGCGTTGTTTTGGCTCAGTACTGCTGATGTAAAGTTTATGTTTGCTGCAGGAATTAAATATGCTTTTCGGCACTATTGTAACGCTGTCGCCGCTAACAAAATCAACATTGGCTCTTCTACATATGATGCATACGATGGTACTTACCGTGTGAGAGAATTAAGGGACGCCCGTATTTTAAACTGGTATAGGCAGATATACAAATTCTTGGCCGAGATTTGTCGTTATGTTTCACCTTGTTTCACCTTAATTTCCCAAGAATGTAAGTTGAATGAATATCGAATCTTAGTTATCTTTAAAAAAAAGGTATGTCAGTCGCTGAATAATTAGAGTCGAAGTTGCAGGCATAAAGTATTGTATGTTGAGTAACCCGAGTATTAGATTTCTCTACTAACAAAAATACTCCTTTCTGAAACAACTACCCATACTTTACATTCGCAGGTGATGTCCGATACCAGATTCCTGAGTAATCTACAAAACTATCCAAAAGACAAAATCAACGGCGAGACAGTAGACTTGCTGCAACCGTACTTAATGAACCCACTCTACACTTTCGAGAACGCCAAGCAGGCTTGCGGCAACGTTGCCGGACTACTGTCTTGGACACAAGCCATGGCACAGTTCTACCATGTGAACAAGGAGGTGTTGCCGCTGAAGGCCAACTTGGCTATCCAGGAGGCAAAGCTGACAGGGGCCACCCAAGACCTAAACGAGGCCCAAGCGCTGCTGGACGATAAGCAGCGAGAGCTTCAGGGCGTGCAGGCCATGTTCGACAAGGCAATGGCGGAGAAGCAGGTACGTTTTCGAGGAAATTTAATTGAAATTTTCGTAAGTTATTTTATTTTTCATTTATTTAACGTTTGTGTTAACAGAACTCTTTTCTTTTTTGCCTTAAAGAGGCAAGGTACCGATAGTTGATCTAAAAATTCCCATCAAGGACGGGAGTAACTACACATGCTTGTGAATTCCCGAATATTCCGTTCGCACTAGACTGAAGCTTCAAATACCCACAATGACGTAGTTTCAACATCAGACACAGTTGTAGGGACAGTAGATATCTGTTGATTTGCCTGCAATCAATATTAGTAACAGTCAACAGATGACATCTCCCTCCTCCTTTAGAATCAATGAAGGTTACACGGGAGTAGTGAGTAGTACTGCAAGAAAAAGTATAGTAATGAGTATGTGTAGAAGATTTCACGACCCAGGTGGACTATGGCGTAGGGTTCGCGTGCGGATCTCTGCGCAGAGGCTTGTCGTCACTGAATGCCGTCTCAAAAACATTGACTTCCGTCGAGTGCGAAGTGTGAATAGGATCTTCTGATAAATCCAGGAAATATTTTAATCTTAAAGAAATATTGTATCGTGAAGTTAATACATAGTTTCTCATTATGTTTGCTATTTAAGAACGACGAGTCATCTTCATAATTAATGTTACCTGAAAACTGAATATTTTCGTAGAAAACTTAACGAGTAAGGTGCCACTAATTCGTATATGTGACTTTAAAGTGTACATACCGATATTCACGATGCACTAGCGAAATGGCCGTTTTTGGCCAAAAACAAGTGAGCATGGACGACTTTTCCGGCTAAGCCGCTTGGTGGTGGCAGGCCGTGATGGACGAGGCGGCGAAGTGCCAGGCGAAGATGGACGCGGCGACGGCGCTGATCGACGGCCTGGCGGGCGAGCGCATCCGCTGGACGGAGCAGTCGGCCGCCATGAAGTCGGAGATCGAGCGCCTGATCGGCGACGTGCTCGTGCTGGCGGGCTTCCTCTCGTACGCGGGGCCCTTCAACCAGGAGTTTCGCAGCCAGCTGTACCGCTCGTGGGTGGCGGCCCTGAGCAGGCGCCACGTGCCTGCCTCGACCAACCTCAGCGTCATCGACTGCCTCACGGACGCCCCCACGGTGCGGCCCTCCCTACATCTCCTCTAGCCTTGTCCAATCTCATTTATTTATTTATTGGCGTATCAACCACGTGATTATTAGCGGCACCTCAAATAGTTTGAATACAAAAGTTCAGTTTCACTGGTTTACGGTTTCAAATTATTTATATAAAAAATTAAGAGTTTACAGATCCATTATTCACAAAATTCTTAGTTATGAGATTTATAATATAGAGGAACAAAATATTATGCATATTACGCCCTTTTAACTTACAATACAAATCACAATTTAAATATTTGATATGTTAATGAAATTTTTAAGAGTATAACGTTCTTCAGTTGTGACGTTTTGCAATTATTCATTTTCTTTTTCGTACTATTATATTGTTATTATATTATTATTATTATTATTATTATTATATATTATTATTATTATTATTATTATTATTAATATATTGCTGGCAAACGAGCCTTAATCTGTATGTCTTTTTGGGTTCTTTTGTATAGCATTTCGTAAATGAACGACGAGGTTCGTCTGATTTACCTTACATTATTAAGAAAACATACTTAAAAATGTGCGCTTTCAGAACAGAAGCTTCGGGCGACAAGGGTGGAGGCGCAATTCTGGCGTCAGATTCGGATTTAGCACGTCGAAATACTTAGAGTAACGTGCATCAAGTCTTTGAGTGTGGCAACAACCCTCGAAAATAAAAAAAAATACAATATCACGATGGTTTTTGCAATTTAATAAAAAATAGAGGGTGGAGGCACAATTCTGGCGTCAGATTCGCATTCAGCTCGTCGAAATACCTAGAGAAACGGGTTAAGTCTTTGAGTCTGACACTTTTTTGTGCCTCTGTAATCAGTTGCATAATTGACAAAATTGAAAACAATATGATATTAATTTAGCACACCATTAAGATAAAGCATTAATACAAAAATTAGACAGAATCTTTTCTTGCTTATAATAGTTCCCAAAAGCCCTTCCAATAAATGATCCGAAATCCGCCTCTGTTGCAGCCGATCAATACGCGCGCGCACAACACACACGCGCACGCAACACGCCACAACACACGCACGCGCGCACACGCACACACGCACGCAAAGGGCGAGTACTTCACCCATTCAGGTTTAGAGCTTTGTTCTGTAAGAAATCGTAACCAATGCCATTTCATTTCAATGTCCCAACAGTAGTTATCACTACAAATCATCTTGTTCTGATCCATGATGCCAATTGATTATCTTTCTTTTATAAAAGCATTTTTCATATAATTTATGAGCTGAATTTCTTAATAACCAAAGATTGTGGATAAATATTCCTTGTAGTTACATTTGTATTATAAAATAACTGTTTCACTCAGAAATCAGTACCGCAGAGACATTACAATATTAGGTTGGGCAAAACAAAATACAAGATTCACGCTTTAATAATTATAACATATTTTATGGAAATAGCAAAATATTAACGGGTAAATCTTTCTAAAGAACATTGGTAGAGAAAAAAAAGAAAATTATTTTCAGTAATCTGTAGCCGTTCCTGTAGTCAATTGTGGTTTGTAAACCAAAACACACCGTTTTTCCAGCATGCGCTATCTGCGTGCAACCTTGGAAACTAGAAATTAATACCACGGCTGCCACAGAGTTGCGACTCTGTCAGCTGTTGCAAAGAATGAGTGAAAGAAGCACGTGGAATAAAATATCTTCATAATTTTAGCTGTCGAACGTTGTTGAAACGTTTGAGTTGTCTTGCCATGTGGCGTAAAAATATTACGTACTGTATTCAAGATGACCATGATAATTTATAGAAACAATCGTCACAAATGTCTACTATGAATGCTTTATAATGCTAAGGCTACTTGCCTTACATGTATTTACCATCAATGAACTAAGCCGAAACCCGGGCATGGTAACCCGCACGTAGTCAAAAACAAACAAAAGAAAATTGAGCAGAAATAAATTTGTATTCCTTTACAGTTATACATGTACATATTTTATAGAGTAAATATTGTTTCTATGGGCCATAAAAACTTTAGTATCACTTCTGTAACTTCTCTCAAATTTGTCCAGAATATTTCTGAGCAGCTAAGAATCAAACACAAGGCGGGGCGAGAGGTGTGAGTATGACAATCATGTCACCGGCTGAGGTGGCTCAGAGAATCAATTGCCTCTGTCTAGGAGACGTACAATTTGAGTCCTGACGGTAGCAGGATTTTTTAAAATTTAGCAAGGTCAAATTCATCCGTTGTCTGAAGGTAATTTTCGGCTGCTCTATTCAGTAGTTTTCGTGTTTTTTCCGATCATCACCAGGCAAATGCCAGAGCAGTACCCTAACAAATGGGTCACGGGCCGCGCGCGATCTTTCCTTTATCTTCCTATTCTCTCCCCTTGGACATACACACTTACACACACTTCACTACGCACATGCCAGGAAAACCGGGAGCTTAGAGCTTGTCCCGGGTGAGGCGATGCTACACTGTAGGGAGATATCTAGAGGGGGAAATTCTCTGGAAGAAGTTTGCGCTGGATCTCACCATCCAATCAAGGGAGGAACACCGCCAGCTCCCATGATGAAACATGAAATTCACTTTTGAAAATTCTGTCTCAAAATCTTCTACAAGTACATTCGATTCTTCCTCGCATTTGCTTCACACTTTCCAATTTTAATCCCTTAATTTTTGTAAAGTTTAAAACTCCACAAACTGAGAATGATTTGTGTTCACTTCTACTTCTTCAATTGCTCTATTAATAGTTTTGTAGGCTAGTACCTTGCAAGAATAAACGATAATAAAATTGAGAATGTTTTCTTCTTTCGACATTGTTGAACTGCCTCCAAGAACATTGCATTAAGTGCCAGTAAAAATGTCTACCCAAACAATTGGAGAAGTTGAAAAGTAATTTGTCAATCAATAATTATTATTTATGTTCTATCTTCTACACGTTCTCTGGATAATTATAAATATTCTCTTTAGCTGTTCTTCTCTGACTTGTGCAGATCGGCGAATGGAATTTACAAGGGCTTCCTGACGACGAACTGTCCGTGCAGAATGGCATCATCACTACCAAGGCACCTCGTTTCCCTTTAATGATAGACCCTCAGGGTCAGGGAAAAGCGTGGGTGAAGAACATGGAGGCACAGAACTCTATATTGGTACGTATTAGAAGATCAGCAATGAAAATTAAATGAATATTACGAAGTCATGTATAACTACAATGCACTTGTGGTGCTAAAACAGCACATACTCGCTCGCTCCTTAGTAACGGTTATGTAATAATATTATACCGCATTTCTGTCTACAACAACACATCTCAGACGATGAGCACTGAGATCGAAGCGCGATGGGCAGTGCGTTCAATGGGCACATATTTTCTCATCAATTCCTCCTAAAAGCGCCATTCTTGCCATGAATGGAAGGTGGTCCGCAGTTGGTGTAAAACCTGTAGATATTTAATTAATTTCAAGCAGATATATCGCAAAACTACTGTTTTTTAAACCTTGATCATGGCTTTTTTTGAAGAGTTAATTTTGTACAACAGACTTTGTCTGAGGCAAAAATCTCTATCTTCAATTTTGTAGTTAAATTTTTGTTTTTAAAAACCCGAGAAATACACGAAAATATGACTATCACCACATTTTTATCGTCTATTATTACATAAGTAAAGAAAATTTAAAGAAAAAATTTGGAGCGAGAATTTTTATTTGTAAATTTCAATCGCAAAATACGCAAAAACAAATCGTTTTTCAAAACATTGTGCTTGACCTTTTTTGAAGAGCTCATTTTGTACATCAGACTTTGTCTGAGACAAAAATTTCCATCTACAACTTCGAAGATTTTTTCCAATTTTCGAAAAATCGGGGATGTCAAATACAATGAGACCTGCTCGATTCTCTTACACGTCTTTCGCACTTATTCAACAACAAAAATTAATCAAAAAACTTGTAGCCTCTTTTAAATTTTTTTAAAATGTGCCAGGGGATTCATGTAATGTATCCCCTAAATTAAAATAACGGTTTCATATTCCAGGGTCCGCGACCTCAGCTAGAATCATTGGGGAATATCTACTTTTGAGAAATTGGCTGATAGATTTATGCCCTAGCTATGTCCACAGACGTTTTAGCGTCAATCGATTTTTCGGTATGAAGGACGCACAAAACATAGATTTTGGCTACACTACGTGTAAGAGGAATTTATTTAGCAAGTAGATTAATCTACTTTTTCCTTACCAGGGTCCGGCAATATGAGTTTTTGTGTCGAAAATTCGCCATTTTTCGGCGTACGATTCCAATACTTTTTATTCTTACGTTAGTAAGTACGAGGAAGTAAAAATGAATGTGTAACATGTTTTTTGTGTTTTCTTTGATTGCGTTGAGTGAATTGAATAATGGAAATGAAAACCTTTAAAGAGACTGGATGTCATATTTCAATTCTTTAGATAACAACATTGGATCACAAGTACTTCAGAAATCAGTTGGAGGACAGCATCTCCTTAGGAAGCCCTCTGCTTATTGAAGACGTGGGCGAAGAGCTGGATCCAGTCTTGGATAACGTTCTCGAGAAAAATTTCATCAAAGTAGGTACGAAGTGGAAGGTGAAGCTGGGCGACAAGGAAGTGGACGTCGATGAGGACAAATTGCGCATCTACCTGACGACGAAGCTGCCCAATCCTGCGTACACGCCCGAGATCTTCGCAAAAACTTCGATCATTGATTTCACAGTCACCATGAAGGTACGAAAACACACAAACACATTCTTTCTTTAACTTCATCATATTTGTGACGCATTCTCCTGCACCTTCCTGTGAAACAATCAGCGTGTAGAATACATTACTTTTTTTAACCTTTCTCTACACGCGTCCGTTTCTGGCACGTAATTCTGTTGCGGCGAAATGTCTCCCATATTCCACGAGAATTCTTTTGCTTCAGAACCAAACTACTCTGCCGAATGCTCAGAACATTTTCAATTTCACAAAAAACATTTCCGCAAAACAATTTATTCAGTAAATTAAACAATCAATACCATCTCTAAATGCACTTCGCCAACATAAAAAATCTTCGGATTCAAGAATAATAGTAAATGTCTCTCCATCTTCTTTCTTAAGGTGATCCTAAACAAACAGAAGTTACGGCTCAAATGCTTCGTATTATAACCAAAAGGTGTTTCATACATAGAGCAAAACCTTTCGATTGCGTCAGAGCATACCGTTGTTGTTGAACTAATTTATCAGAGGTTGCCTACAATCCAGGGACAAATGGTACTTGTGTAACTTGCTTATATGAAATTTCGCATTACATGAACAGTTATCATTCACTTAGAAAAGTGATCGCCTTCAATCCTCTTACATGCCTTACAAATAGGTAACAGTTAAACTGAGAAAACCAAGCCAAGGTACTCAGTGCGTAGCGCGCTGACGTCGCGATCGGGATGTTCGGGTTCGATCCTTGAGCCGGCCATCCCGCCAGAGGAGTTGTACGTGGTTTTCCTCGCTCATAAGGCGAATTCTGGAAGGGCTCAAAATGGCCAGGATCACCTCTCACCATCATCCTCTCACCACCTCATGCATCAGTCATCATCGTCCTATCACTTCATTCAATATTCCATGCAAAAAGGCCGCAAGCTCTTGCCCTTAATGGGGTCTTAGTTGGCTAATACTAATAATTCTGAGATATCTTGTTTTAATACAGCAATTCTATATTTACATAGGTTACATATACCGCCTGTGTATTTAAAATAAGTAAACCTAATTCGAGGTCTCATGCTCTAATGAAATAAAATGCTGTACCTGCACCTGCCTAGTGGATTTGACTTTCTTCATTAACTGCTCATAATTCAATGAGTACTCTTCCTGAGCTGATATTTACAGAATATGCCATTGATGTTGTTAAACCAATGTATGAGAGGTTGCCTATAACCCAGGCATAATGTTGCATGTGTAACTTGCTTAAATGAAATATCGCATTACATGAACAATTATTAATCATTTCGAAAAGTGATCACCTTCGATTGCGCTGTGACATGGCCTGCCCGTCCATGCACCACAATTTGTACCTATACTGGCCTATTAAAGTGTAAAAAGGGTTTACCGTGGTGTAGCATAACCCATTCCCAAATTAGTGTCCCAGGCATTCTACAATGCCAATCATGAATGGGAGTATAATCAGTGGTCAAGAAGAGTGTTGAGCACAGCTCGGCAACCCAGTGGTCAAGATGGAAGCTAGTTAGCTTGCCTCAGAAGATTAGCAGTCAAAAACAACATCTGGCTGAAATAGTTGTAATTGCCAGTAAATTATTAATTCAGCTTGTACTCGTAGTTGTGACCGTCTCTTGAAACTACTAATATTTTTCAACCTCTAGTGACAGTAGGAAATTTCAATGCCAAGTGCATTCTTCTATATTGTCCAGAGGCATTACAGTCCTCCAAGCAGACTCATGGCGTTCTCAACAATCCTCCTCACTGTTCACAGTTTGAGTTAATTTATTCACTTGAATACTATAATAACATTTCCCCATTAGAGGAGAAAACGTAATTACGGATCGCTAATGATCATCCCATTTCCGTAGTATGATATTATATTTAACTCATAAGTATGTAGTTTGACATTTGAAGTCTACATTTTATCCGCTGTGTGGAAATCATCCCTCAGGGTCTGGAGGACCAGCTGTTGGGGCGAGTGATCCTGTCGGAGAAGCGAGAGTTGGAGACGGAGCGCGTTTCGCTGTTGATGGACGTGACGCTCAACAAGAGGAAGATGAAGGAGCTAGAGGAAAACCTGCTGCTGAAGCTGACCACCGTGCAAGGCTCCCTGCTAGACGATGACACCGTCCTGGAGGTAAGAAGGGGAGCAAAGTGCTTCGGGGCAACAATTTGGTGACTCGCAATTTTTCACTGTAAGAAGGAAGTCTTAAAAACGAATGTCGGGATACTGCTAACCGTCATCTGCCAAGTGTGCCCGTATGGACACGCTCTACGAATCTGTAGCTAGTTCATACATTCACCTTGATATGATGCAGTAATACAATTAAAACGTCATGTGGTTTTCCATAACATCCTAAAAATTTTCACCATGTGCATTTCAAAATTTTGGGGGTAAAAATGTAATATTTTTTTTAATTATAAAATGGTATAATGATTTTTTTTAGAAAATAATTCAAGCATATAACGATCGACCGAAAAATTACAATGCAACTCCTTTCATTCCCACGTTGGTCAGACGTGACTCATAATTGTTGTTTAAGGAGCTCGTACCCCAGAAGGAATTAGACATGTAATTAACGTCATTCAAACACATTGTGTTCTTTATTTAACTTAATAATTAAAATTTCATTGTGACTTCATATTAATAGATAATATTATGAATTGCTACCCATGCGTTTATCAAGACATTCACATTTCGTGGTGAAGAGGCCAATGGCGCAGAGGCCAACTTGTTGGTTTCTCACTGTCCGTTCAGACGCGCCGTACAAACTCTGCATGACGAATGGGGACCTTTGCTCTATGTTCTAAGCTCATTACTGATCTCCCACATGTGGTGTGTGTGTATATGTGTAAGAGAGGAGGATAGGACAAGCAAAAGGAAGGAGCGCGGTTTGTAGCCCGTTGGTAGGGAACTGCTCCAAAATTCGCCTGGTATAGACCGCAAAAACTATGGAAAACTACCGATGAGAAGAGCTCGCTAGAATTCTACTCCAGATAGCGACTGATTCTGACCCAGCTTAGCGTCAAAAATCTGCCAGTGTCGGGATTCCAACGGTAGGACCTCCATGGTCAGAGTCGTTGCAGAGACAGCTGCAATGAGACAAATTCCGCCAGTAAGAAAGCCAGCGACAATTAGGGGCGGATGCCGAAAGTGGCGGGATTGGTGCGCAGGTGTTGACCGTGACAAAAAACACGGCGGCGGAGGTGCGCACCAAGCTGCAGATCGCCTCCGACACAGCCATCAAGATCACGGCGGCGCGAGAGGAGTTCCGGCCGGTGGCCACTAGAGGTTCCGTGCTCTATTTCCTTATCGTCGACATGGCTAAGGTACACGCCCACTTCTTACTTTCTTTCTAGTGCTGCATTCTGTCGAACATTGTTTTGTAAATTGCATTTTGTACATTAAGCTTGACATATTAAGCCTTTCATTTTAAAAATTCCGTAACAATCTTATTATACTTTAATGTTATTAAACCTTCCGGAACAATCCTTCAATATTTTGCGTTTCTTCTTATAGAAATCTAATAGTTTGCGTTGGCACCAAGATGGATTATCAGATTCATATGACAGTTCACTACCTTGTACTACATCAGGCAAAACCTATTTATCTACATTTTAAAATTCTGTGGAATATTAGGTATAGGTTTTTAGGAACGTTTTCTAACAGTGACCTCCACGCCTTCCGCAAGCGAACCGTTTGCATCGGCAGCGCTAGGAACATTACGAATCGTTTGCCAACCGCTGTCAAATTTTACAGCGCGTTCTTTCGTTCAAGTCGAAGCCAAAGATCATATCTATTAGTTCCTTTCTATTTAAAAGTGCACAATGATACACGTTGTCAAGATTTCTACCGCAGTCTGTTTTGGGGATCTCCTAAATCTTGAGGATCTTCTAAGTTTGTAATGATGGTACACAAAATTGTACTTGTAGGTTCTTTGCACTGTGCTGACCAAGCTGGTAAAATTCCATGTAAATACGAGAATCCAGCACAGCGAGTATTGCGTGTGTGATAAAGTGTCATCGTCTGCAGGTGAATTACATGTACCAGACTTCGCTGGGCCAGTTCTTGGAGCGCTTCGACATCTCCATGGCCCGGTCGGAGAAAAGCCCCATTACCCAGCGCCGCATCGGCTTCATTATCGAGTACTTGACGTACGACGTGTGGTTCTACACGTGCCGCGGCTTTTATGAGGAACATAAGTTCCTTTTCACTCTGCTGGTCACTCTCAAAATCGACTTACAGCGTGACGCCATTTCCTTCACGGAGTTCCAGACCTTTATCAAGGGGGGCGCCGCGCTCGATCTGAACGACTGCGACCCCAAACCCTTTGGGTAAGTACTTGAGCGGCGAATTTTATGTCATGAACATCTTTCAAATGTCTCTTGTCTCTGAACTGTTGTGATTAACGCTTGTTTTACGCGAAATTGCAACAACCTACATATCTCTTAGGGTGGCTTATTCTCTATTTTGAATACCCAGATGTGACCACAAATACGATTATTGATCATACAATGACATTACTGGCATGCAGTGGGATTTTTATGCTTAATGAAAGAGGTGGAAATTAACACTGCGATATAACCATCTTATAAAACAGTGAAAGAAGTTTTCTAGACTCAATATTATTAGCTCATTAAGAAAATATTGAAAAATTATTTATAAACCAGACCGTGTTTTAATTAATATATAACATCTACAACAATGGTATACACGAGGCATTTATTCAAACAGTTCACTTTTATTTTACGCATAAAGAATGGTCATTTACATTTCACTAGACATCGACTACAATTCTTATTCCCTTTTTTTTTTTGCGATTGAATTCTATTTTTGCTGGCTGATCTCCGAATTTGAAGGTTGGACAGGCCTTGGAGAATGATGGATTCTAAACAATTTTGAAGAAGTATGTTGCCACTACCTGAAGAACCCGCGCGTTGCTGGGGTATTTATCATAACAAATTTTTATTAAACAGAAAGATAAATTTTATATATTCCCGCCCTATGGCGGGGCCTACTTCTATCTATTGTTGCATCTCCTCTCCACCCTACCCCGTGTCTGTTAGCCTTGCTCCAATCTGGATATAACCGGTCTTCCGTAATCACTAAAACACATTACCACTAAAAATATCTAAATTTTATTCATTTTGGAGTTCCTAACATCAAACTTCTTTCACTTTGATGCCCCCATTAAACACAATATGAACACTAACTCATAAAGAGCATAGAAGAAATGACAAATGAAATATCCATAGGACCAACATAACATGGCGAGAATTTAATGGTTAATATTTCTCAAGTTAATTGAAATATGTGAGAAATGAACTAACGTAATTGTTTAGAATTTGACGTTATGTATATGAGGCTACATCGATTGTCACGAAAAAAAAATTATTTATCCCCATGGCGTTAAAATTGCCTTACATTTCCCATTCCTAATACAAACAACATAAATATGTATTAGTAAAATTGTGGGTTTACATTCTAAGACTATCTAGAAAGCTGTAGTTATATTTGGTGATAAAGACAAATTACATATTCGTATGATACAATCAGATTGCATGTGTTAAAAGTTTGACTATCTTGTAATGCTTATAAAAGCAAAACAGACTCAAGAGATACACAGATGTCCAATAATAGCTTTTAGATCCTGTTAGAGGTTTATTCAGTTTCAATTAGTAACTAGTTTTAACGAATGCTTTCGATTGTACGACTTGCAAAAACTCATTTTTCTGAAGATACGTTATTTCCTATTGCCGGTAATGTTTATGTACTACGACAATGGATTTCCCGTCTTGCAGAAACTCTTTAATAATTATGCTTAATTTACTACAACTAAACATGTGTGCATTCGTACCTTTTTACGACACTATTAACCACATCCGTCAGAAAATGACTCATTCCAAATATCTCGTCTCTTGTACAGTTAATGCACTCGTGCCTCATTATCCAAGTTAATTTTATAAATAAAGCGGAGAAAAATTTCGGATTAGACAACTGACGGAAATAAACACAGTCCTCTAAATACGCAATTCTGTGCATTGATGAAATCAGTAGGAGATCTCAGACGTTACTCAATGTTGGTGCGCAGCTTAACTATTGACATTGATGCACTATTGGGTTTGTGATGTAAAGCTAGGCGAAAAATGTCCACAAAAGTCATTATTTTGTAAATATATTAAGGTTTATGATTATAAAGCATAGCCTATAGTTCTCCAGGCCTTTAAAAGAAGCTATCACAAAAGTTTCATCGGTATTGGTTCAGTAGATTCAGAGATTATCGCGCTGTAAGTCAATGCATTTCTATCTTTATATATTAGTTTATATTACTATTACACCAGATTCAGAACTACGACATTTTAGAAAGCTATATTTGGAAGCTATTGTTTATGCCAGGAATCGAACTCGGTCCTTGCAGAAATAAAACGAACACTAGTCACGATCCATCCAAGTGTTTCGTTATTGCTAATGAAAGTTTAAATTTAAGTTGTTTTAATAATCAAAATAAAATTAAATCACTGTGTGAATTGTTGCAGGTGGATATCTGATATGACTTGGCTGAACCTAGTAGAGCTGTCCAAACTTCGACAATTCCAAAATGTCTTAGAGCATGTGAGTAACCAACACAATTTTATCAAAAACATTTCACACATTATCTGGTCTGATTTTTTAAAAAAGTTATTAAATGTGAGTCTGTTAAAGCACAAGCTTTGAATATTAAGAATGATTAGGTTATCATTTTTCGCTTCCGAAAATACATAAATCTTTACTTTTAGTGAACATTTGAAAATGAAAGCGATCGGTTGAGTGAAAAAAGGACAGACGAGTTAAAAGTGCAGAAATGACGATCTACAATATTTGTGACTAAAGATAAAATGTTCATGTTCAGTTGAGACAACGTGAAAGCTTGAACCTTGCAAGACCTGAAGTTCACATTTAGTCCGTACGCTTCATAAGGTGCTGACCGTGGCAGTAAGTTGCGTCCCCGTTACATTTGCGTTCCTTTATTAAATGTGATTAAATGTTATTAAATGTGAGTCTGTCAAAGCACAAGCTTTGAATATTGCGAAGGGTTAGGTTATCATTTTTCGCTTCCGAAAATAAATAGATCTTTACTTTTAGTGAACATATGAAAATGAAAGCGATCGGTTGAGTGAAAAAAGGACAGACGAGTTACAAGTGCAGAAATGACGATCTACAATATTTGTGACTAAATATCAAATGTTCATGTTCAGTTACGACAACGTGAAAGCTTGAACCTTGCAAGATCACATTTAGTGCTTACGCTTTACGAGGTGTTGACCGGGGCAGTAAGTTGCGTCCCCTTTACATTTGCGTTCCTTTATTTGCGTCGAAAGAGAGTGATATACAGTTAAGATCTCTGAGATGAGGAAATCAACATTTAATATTCTGAATTAAAACAAGGTATCGTCCCAGCATTCGCTTCATGGATAAAGGGAAACTTTCCCTGAGATACCGAAACTGTAAACGACCCGTTGTATAGTAGTTCAGTAGAACCCCACTAATCTGAAGCCCGGAAATATGAATAAAATTAGGGATACAGAAAAAATAAACAAAATAAATAAAAATGCATATTTGTAAAGTAAAGTAAAACTTTTGTAAAGAAAATATTTTATAATTACTGTAGAACTAGAAACTAATTATTGAATCACAAATCGAAATGAAACGTTTATTCCACTGCTAAATACGATATATATCACACGTTTCTGTAGCAGTAATTTTCACTAAGAGGGACGTGTAAAATTGGTAATCTTTTTTTGTAAGGAATTGAAACTCCTTGATGATTGGATGTGATGATGTGATCGCTACACTACGTCATTTTCTCACATGCTCACACGCCACGTTGAATTGTGTTTGGTAATCCTATAGAAGTATTTGTATATGTATGGTACATTTTTTTGGATAAGCCGAACATTTCCGAATCCGAACAGACCACATTCCCAATTAGTTCGGATTGCCGGGGTTCTTCTGTATATAAAGTCCGGGGGGAGGGGAGAACGTCGAAACTTTAAAAATAAGCTTTTAATTCAATTTTTAGCGTATTTTGTCTAGTAAACTATTTGGATATTCTGAATGGCTAAGCCGCTATAAGCATTCTAAAGTTATTTTAAAAATTGCTTTCTAGATAAAAATGTGCATTTCAAAAGCATAAAAACTCTCTAGAAACATGTAAATTGTTTATTATTTACAAAATAAATGAACATATTTATTCAGAAAGAAAAATTAACCCAGAAATAAAAAAGCGTTGGGTGCTTTTTTATTCCTTTGTTAATTTTTTTATCAAATATATTAATTTATTTTGTACATAAAAAATACATGTTTCTGGTGTTTCTAAGCTTCTGTAATGCATATTTTTGCCTACAAATCATTTTTTCAAAATAAGTTTTGTGTGCTTATTGCGGCTCAACCATTCGGAATATCCAAGTAGTTTACTAGACAAAATACGCTAAAAATTTAATTAAAAGCGTATTTTTAAAGTTTCGACGTTTCCTCCTCGGACTATTATACAAATTATTATACAAAATATGCTTAAAATTGTCTTAAGAGAGTCTTAAAAAATTGTCTTAAATCGGAGAAGTTTCCACGTTTTCTTCCCATAT